TGGTGAGGCTGGCGTTTCAGGTTCTTCACAGCCAGGCCTAGAGTTGATGTAAGAGGCAGAAGGGAGCTGTGATGGCGGATGAATGACATCTTTGAATTAAATTAATCTGGCCACATTGCAGAGGTGAGACTGGGAGAAAAGTCTGGAATCATGAAGCTTATTGTATTGATTCATGACTGCAGTGCTGTGGGCCTGAACTCTGGGGGTCCGTAATCCTGGTGGGAATTGAGAAGGCTCCATCCAATTTAAAAAAAGGATGAGCCACAAGAATGAGGAGAATTTAAATGTTGGAAATTATTTCACAAAATGCTGTTTTGTTCCTCAGCTCATCTCTTCCCTTCTCAGGCAGCTATTTATTAAGTCTTGGATGTTTGCTGTTCTTGTTCCTCCTTAACACTTTTTATCATTAAATAAATGATGGTCTCCATAACCTCTCCCCCTCTATATTTTACCAATTTTCCTTTCAATCTTAAACTAAAAATGTGCTCCTCATGCCCTCTCTGTTAATAGGAATGTTATTAGTGAAGCATACATAGTCATACTTCCTGTATGGTCTTACATTTTTCCCCTGTGTTCACATCTGAAACTGAAAATATCTGTTCAACCCCCAGATCTCAGGTCTGAATGGGAATCTTATCAAGCAGCAACACCTGTAATTAGTGTGTGGTTGCAAGAAAGTTCTTCTGGAGCAGTGGTTCTCAAAAAACTGGGTCTGCCGAGGAGCATCTGGGAAATTGTTAGCAATGGAAATTCTCAGGGCCCCATCCTAGACCTACTAAACCAGAAACTCTGGTTGGTGGGACCCACCAATGTACTAAGAAGCCCTCCAGATGCATGCTAAGTTTTGAAAACCATTGTCCTGGAGAAATAGCTTCACTGGGTTGGACACACAGACTCAGGGAATAGGAAACAGATTTCAGAAAGCACCAGGCTGAGAAGAGAGTGCAATTACTTCCCTCTTGGAGATGATGCAGACATCCAAAGGAACAACTGCTGGAAATGAGAATTTGTCCTTAGTCCCCTGCCCTTTGAACAAAGGCCTGGGCAGCTATTGCATGCCTCATGCTTTGAAAAATAAGTTCTTAAGTCCGTCTTTAGGAAGGATGGTCAGATCTTCTCATCAAGGGCCTTCATTGGGTATCGTATTGTTAAACAGATGAAGAAAGAGAGATATTTCCCACTTTGGGCGAGTCTCATTTTCCTCTATAGTGACCTCTACATACTGAGGATATGCTTATTTGATGGTCAAGAGGAAACAAGAGTTTGTATTTCAATCTCTGACCTGCACTGAACTTTTATCCCACAAGAAGCAGCTCTTTATTGAGGTTCCTTTGAGGGTGCCCCAGTCTCAAGAGTCCTGGCCAAAACACTAAAGTTGCCTAGGGTTTTAGTATCACACTTCAACCATGGACTGTGGGAGACAAGGAATGAATAGGTCATTAGCTTACCAAGTATTTTGTATCTTCTAATTAGGAAGTCATTAGTTAAACAAGAACAATTAGGTAAAGCCAGTTTTCTACTACCAGGATCAGAACCAGTGTCCTTAGTTTACTTTTAAAACTCCACTTCTTTTTTACTATTAGCAATGTATGTCCATACAAAGCCCACTCTTATGGGGGCCTCATCAGAATGGCAATCCCCGTTTAGGTGTGTGACCCAGAATCAATTTCCTTTGTGGTTAAAAGAAGTGATTTCTCTTCCAGCTCTTGAAGCTTCCATGCATCTAGACAAGGCATGCTCCTATTTGATACAAAAAGGAAGAGAACTTTATATTTCATTCTCCATCCTACAGTGAGCATTGATCATTAACATAAAGTCTCTTTGGGAGGAAGATAAATTCTGACTGCCATGGCCAACCTTTTGCTGTTGGATTATGTATTTTCTTATTATAAGATCAGTGAACTTCTCTGCAGGGTGTTTCCATTTGAGGAATGAAATGATGGGACTTTAAAATATCCACCCTGTGGTCTCTGCTGTGTGAGTCCATGGACTAATGGCCCTTGGAGGATTTACCTTGGAGGTGATCCAGATAAACAGTTCTGTTGCCACTTAAGAATACCAGGCAGGACTTTTCTCCTCAGACTCTCACAGCAATCAGGAGTAAGCTGGAAAGGACTGATCGCTCTGGTCCTACTGGGCTTCCAGGGGCTGGTGTCCTTCTGTCCCAGTTCCCTGCTTCTGTTCCTCTCCTTCTTCTCGGCAGAGTGCGTTCATGTTATTGGTGACCTGCAGCCACAGGAAAAACTGCCAGCACCAGGAGCACGATTTACTTCCCTTTATAATTTCAGCTCAAATCTAGAACTCAAGGAATGATATGAAGCAATGATTAAATCATTTCTAATTTTTTTGAAAGAAGGACTAGAGAAAAAACCTGTTGTGGTTTGTGTGTTGTTCTCTGTGAATCAGAGGTGCTGTTGAGGTGTATTTTTCAATTGTGTCCTTGAGCATCAGGCCCGCTCACTGTTGCCCTTGGGTATGGGAATATAGTGTGGAGCAGCAGAAATGACAAGAAACAATGGAGAGAAGTTGCTACAACCTGCTTCCTTATACTCTTCGGAACATCTGCTTCCATTTATATTGAACCGAAATATCCTCAGTGGTCCTGGCCTAACATCTCTTCCCTTGCTATTCCATTCTCTTCCACAACCTAGCAAATACTTTTCCTGCTAGATGTACTTCAAGGTTATTACTAATTTAACCACATAGGCTATGGAATAAATAGGAGTTAGGTACTCACAGGACCCCCAACTGTGCTACCAATAACTCTACCAGTAACTATCATGAGCCCAACAGTAAGGTTCTTGCTTAGCCTTAGTGAAGTGAGAGTGGATTTACCATGATAGACTTGGGAAACAAGACTTTCTCTTTGTCCCCTTGACTGTGTGCACATCAAGCTCGATGAATACAAGTTTATAATGCACAGCTAAGTGGCTGCTGGCACCAGTGAAGACATGAGCGCAATATTTACCAACAGAGCTCCCCATCCTCACTCCTTTGCACACACTCTCTTTCTCTCTCTCTCTCTCTCTCTCTCACACACACACACACACCCTGCTTAATCTTAAGTAGTACCTCACACCAGTGGCTTACATACTACAGAGATGCATTGTCTCTTCATCCCTTGGAATCTGCAGTGGATTTCTGGTCAACCTAGTTCATGTAATTCTTGTCACTGCACCTAGAATAGCTAAAAACTCTGACACCTGTGGGTCATGTTGGAATGAAACAAAACACTGTCGTGGTTTAGGAATTACAGAAGTGTGATGTACTAACTTACTAAATCTGAGCCTAGAGTTTCCTTTTTTCATTTAAATTAAGACCTGTATAAGAGAGCAGGCAAAGAGCAGTGGCAGACTGGGTTGCTTAGCTTCTTTTGCTCTGTCGCTTTTCAGCATCAGACTAAGCAAGTTTCATGCCATCTGTCCTCCCACTTCCCTACCGTAGGGAATAAATAGGAGCTAGGTACTCACAGGACCCCCAAATATGCTACCAATAACTCCACCAGTAGCTATCATGAGCAGTTGTCTTTTCCTTTATAAAAGAACGGTCTTTCAGTGTTTGTTTTTTGTTCAGTCCGCTTAGTTTGTAAATGCAAATGTACATGACTCTTAATGCTTGTCTGGAGGTTTCTCCACGTATTTGTAACTTGGGAGATGACAAAGGGCATGTTTGACTTGTAATAGAGATGGAGAATGCATAAACCTGATGCATGTAATGTGACCCAAGAGTCCCACAGACGGGCCCACCATGCCTCTGAGTGGGCCCTGCAATCCCATACTGCGCAGATTCCTGCCTGTTGAACACCCAAGCATTGTCCTCACAGAAGTACCACTATACTAACTGGTATTGCACACAACAAATTTCCAAAGTGGTGATACTCGGGGAACCCTCCATCCTGCACTTCTCAATTCTCAAGTTGGCCCTGCACTGACCTGGGGGTCCACATTGCTTCCCATCTGGGGAAAGTATTTTGCTTCTCCCCATTTCCCTCCCCTTTCCCTCACCTCACCTTCTTTCTGTTCTTGGCCTGGGTGTTACCATTTGCTTACTGATAACAGTAAACTATGAATTTTCATTCACTGTTTTGAGATGCTTGTGAGGCCTTCCTGCTTCCCACCCAGCACAAAACTTGGGACATTTTACACTCTGATCCTCTGATCAGTTTGACATGGGAAAGCATGGGGAAGCCATGTACCAGTTTGTATAGTGGTTCCCTTCGGAACTGCCTACTCTTAGAGTAGAGTGTGGTGGGGTTTTGCATTGGCTGCTTGACACACACAAAGCCAATTACCCTGCATGCCAGAAAAAGAGAAATTAACCCTTAGAGTACTGCTTCAACATTTGGGCTTAAAGGTCTTGAATTTTACTGGTGGGACAATGCTGCTTTCCCCGTGTCAGCGTGCTACACATACAGCCCACATACCTAGTCTAGCCAGAACGTCAACCAGGATCCTCGCCTCCACAGCTTGCCTGAGATGTTCCTGGATCCGTTGTTATTAACTAACTGATGGTTTTAAAAAGGTCCGAAACACATCCACTGTGTTTAATTGGAAATGGGCTCCATGTTGGACGAGGGTGTGAGGGACTGTTTTTATATTTGGTACGTGTCCTCTGAAGGAAAAAAGTCAGCTCTTTAAGGGTTAATATGAAACTAAGGAATTTGGTGGTCTCCCCTGCTTGTCCTTTCTTCAAGGTGTCTGCATGATTCACTTTAGATTCTTGGCTCAGCAGTTGAATGATGATAAAAACAGTATAAATATATATGTGTGTGTGTATAAAATTATAAAAACAAATTTGAAAAACCCAAAAGACTGAATAGTTGAATGGAAAGACACCCTTGGCAATGCTTGCTTGATTATCACAGGGGGTAGAAAGACCAAAGGTTTTATTTTGGGATGTTCATTTTGTCGTCTGCCTTGAGCACCACCACCACACGGCACTGTGGGAGACCTGACGATGCTTGCCATTTACCTCTTGCTTTTCTTCTCCCTGTCTAATAGCCCAATAGAATCCTGCCAGAATTTCTACAAAGATTTCACATTACAGATCGACATGGCTTTCAACGTGTTCTTCCTTCTCTACTTTGGCTTGCGGGTAAGTTTGAGCATCACCGCTCAGTGTCACAGTGGGACACACAAGCCGTGCACCCAGGGACCGTCCCCCAGCAGTGTCTCTCACAAGCAAGATGAAGCCCCATGTTTCCAGGGGACACAACAGACTCACATTCTGATTTTTAGTCTGTGAGAGAAACCTTTCCTTAACTCAGCATTTTTCTGAAGTCCATGTGAATTTTGTTCCAAGGGGCAGAAATAGAGAATGAAATATCTATTAATATCTCTATTCGTTGGCTGTTTCTTATCTCCCTATTCGAACCTGAATGCATTGTTAACTTAAATAGGAAAAAAAACCTACCTTCTACTCTAAGAGTTATGTTTATTAGTGCTCACTTAGCTGTGAGAAAACAACTGTGAAGGTTGAATTGAGGGGGAAGATTGGCAGTATTTGGGGCTTGGGGGATTTATACTAGACCCTGCTTGTGTGTGTGTGTGTGTGTGTGTGTGTGTGTGTGTGTGTGTGTGTGNGTCTAATAGGGGTGAGATTACTCAAACTTCTCTAAGATGCTATTGAAAACTACAGAAAAATATACTGTCTGGTCTTTCTCTAAAGCTAACCGCATATAGCCACTCTCTGGAAAAGGCTGTGTATCTGAATTCTAAGACTAAAGTGGCATGTGATTGGTGTAGATATGAGAAGAACATAATAGGTCCCTCCAGGCCCCCATGAAAAACAAAAACATACCCTTGGCAAAGGAGACTAGTTAGAATGCCATCATTAAGCTCCTCATTTTTTCTTTCTCTTTTCTCTTTTCTTTTCCCCAGTTTATTGCAGCCAACGACAAGCTGTGGTTCTGGCTAGAAGTGAACTCTGTAGTAGATTTCTTCACAGTCCCCCCAGTGTTCGTGTCTGTGTACTTGAACAGAAGTTGGCTTGGTAAGTCAACCTCTCTTCCTTTCTTCTTACAGGTTCCTGAGCCATGGCTGAAATATAGAATCTAGGGTGCATCCGAGGGTTGGGCTGTCCTCACAGAAAGAAAGTTTTGTGCGTTAATGTGAACAACTCTTGGGGTCCTATAAGCTGATGGTGACAGTTCTCTTTGGAGCACTAGCCCAGAGGGGTTTGCACATCAGTGCTGCAGATAATGCCATTTTTATCCTTGTGGAAGCCTAGTGTTCCTCACTGTCGTAGCCAGTGCCTCTGCAGCGCCTCTGTGTTCATGGTGCTATCACTTTTCATTCAACTTGGAGTTAGAACTGGACAATGAAGCCCATGGGGACAAGGCTAACTTTCCAAGTAGCTGGTTCAAGTATCCCAGGAGGCCTGCCTGCTGAAGTTAGTTTCTATCTGTTCTTAATTTTATGAGGAGTGAGTCCTGCATGATTTATTCATAGTTATGACTTTCTTTGATAAGGCAGGATAAAATAAAGCATCTTGGGTCACCCATCACCTCCAGGGAGATCAAGCCTGTATTAAAATTCTGTGTTCACATCTCATTTCCTGTCTCTGCTCAGCATGTCACTTCCTGTCTCTGCTTGGCAGGTCACTTCCTGTATCAGAACTGAGACAATTTGGTGGGAAAAGTAGCGAGCGCAGCGGGTGGTCATGGCAGCTAAAGACTTGGAGAGATAGCTTTGAGGTTCTCTTTTCTGAATGCTTTTCTCAGAATGTTCCTGCTGCCGTGGCCTATAGGGGTAGAAGGGAGGCAGAAGTGGGACTCAAAAGACTATTTGTGGGTTTTTTCTGTCTTTATTTTTAGAAATTTTTTATCTGAACCTAATTTTTTCAAAGTAATATATGTATGTATTGTAGTCTGTATCAACATTCAAAGATGTGTAAAGAAATTATTAATCATCTCTTCACCCTGTATCCATCACTGCCTTCTTCCTGGGATGCTCAGTGTTAACAGGCTTCGACATCTTCCCTTCAAGTTATTCCACCACAAACAAATGTGACTGTGTACATATAATAGTGCTGTAGAGGAGGGGGTCCCTGTGCGAAATAATTGTATCCATCAGAGAGCACTGTAATTTGGTTTTCTTAATAACTAGTAAATGGTGGACATCCCTTTATCTCTGTAGCTATTCATTTTATGACAGTTAAACAAGGTTTCATAAGTTGTATCACAGTTCATGCAGCTTTAACCCTAGTGATGGACCACCTGGTTTTCTTTTTCTAGTATAAAAAAATGATTTAATAAATACCTTCATACAATTCTATTTTTAGAGATAGTTCCAGGTTCTTGGAAGAGGACTTGATGGATTAAAGAATATGTATATTTTAGTTGATACAGATATTGATGGATAACTTTTCAAAAATATTGTGTCAAGGTATGCTGCACTTGCAATATGTTTTGATTTCCTTGCTAGCACCATGAATTTATTATATACCTAGTGTCTAATATTTTTAAAATAAGCATATTTTATATATAATGTATATAATAATCATATACACACATCCATATGTATGTGCCTCTATGTGTATGTGTAAATCCTGTAAGGATTCTATTTTCTACTAGTTTTCTCATTAGAATTATATTCACTTGCTCAATGGAAATGTTTTCTTTCTTGATCTGAGATGTGCTTACTTAGATTGGGTTTTCTAGCCAGCATGATGAAACCATTAGAGTCACACACAAATCTGGGAAGCATCCTCAGTGTGACCTAAATGTGCTTAGGACCAAGGCTTCTGGCTGCCTCAGCTTAGCTGTTAAATGGTTTTGTGACCAAGGGAGCTCATTTTTCTTCACTCAGCCTGTTGTCTTTTGAATGTTAAATAAAGGTTGGGCTCCATGACTTCTAAGCTTATTTCAGCTCCAAAAGTCTCCAAGACCCTTGCATTATTACTGGGAAATTTGGGAAAATTTCGGATCTAGATTGTTGGGGAGGACTGGGAAGTTAGTGAAAATAAATCACCAGTATTCCTGAGTCAAAACTACACATGGGCTGCCAGCCAGGGCTGTTTCTCAAGCATTCTGTTGTGAATAACCACTCCCCGAACCCTGTGCCACACACACACCCCGAAAAGCCACCGAACAAATAGACAAGGAATGAAGGAAGAGCGAGGGAGGGAGGGAGAGAGAGGGAAGAGGAGAGAGAGGAGGGAAGAAAGAGGAAAGAAAGGAGGAAAGTAATCTGCCTTCTGTTTCTGGCTGTTATCTAATTACTCTGTGCCCTTGAACAACCGCTCTGCTTTTCTGGACCCTAAGTTTTCCCATCTGAAAATGGGAGGTTTGGACTAAATTACCATCCTCATGCTCCCTATGAGGTCTCCTGCTTCATGGATCGAGTTGTTGTCAGGGTCCGTCTGTCTTGGTCCATTGTGGTCGTAGCTGATTGGGGAGACCCCTTCATGACTGGGGTGCAGACATCCCTCCTCTACAGCCAGAAGGTCTCACCCCAGGCAAGGGTGTGGAGCCATCTCCTTGTTGAAGTGAAATGTTCCCCTTAGTGTCAGGAGAACTTGGACGTGTTAAAAATCCATGCCTTTTCATGCATGATTTAATCCTGGTTTTCAGATGTTCTGATCTAGTGAAAATGTATCAGAGCAAAAAGAAAAAGGGGAAGAAAAAAGAAAGGTAAGAGTAATGAGACACACTTTCTCATCAGCTGTGATTTTTTTTCTGTACCTTGCTTATTTATTTTTATTTATTTATTTTCATTTTTGTATCATTAATGTACGATACATGAGCAACATTATGGTTACTAGACTCCCCCCCATTAGCTGTGATTTTTTTTTAAAAAAAAAGGTCTAAAATTTACTTCAGTTTGTTCATTAATTGAACAATACTTACTAAGCACCTACTATATGCCAGGCACTTTTTAAGATGATCAGGAAAAACAGTGAATAAAACAGAAAATGTCTTACCCCCTGAAATTGCAGTGGGGGAGAAACAGAAAAAAAAAAAAACCTAATAAAAAGAGTAAATTATATAGTGTGCTAGGAAGCATCAGTGCTGTTGAAATTGAAAATGTAGACCAACAATATTATTATTTCAGGCAATGAAAGAATAACAACAAATAGCCTCTCTCTCTTGTAACAGAAAGCACCTTTAATGAAATGCTTTTGGTTCTTGGTAACTAAGCCCTGTGGGTGAGATCCAAAACTAGTCTGCCTATTATGGAAGAGAATCCAGTAAAATAATATTTCAAGAAGGTCCCTGTGTCTGATTTAATACATGGATTATTACATTGTGCAACAATTACTGTGCCATTGAGCTTCCAAAGATAAAATGCACATTCCCATGAGGTATGGACTTACAGAGTAGAAGGAACAGTCCCATGAAATGGGGCATTTCAGGAAGTGCTATGCTCCTTTTGGAAAATGCAAAGGTGCTGCCCCTCCTGGCTGGCGTTTGGGTAAGTGCAGGAAACTGAGGTCCATCCCAGTTCTCCTGCCCACAGGAGGCAGAGGGCTGTGCTGAGCCGGCACCACAGGGGATAAAAACCCAAATGAACACCCTGCCCCCTACCCTTACCTCTCCCAGGGCATAATCCACCCTACATTTGGTTTCTGATTGTTAATGCATGGTTGCATGGTTGCATAGTGTAGTATTTATTTCCTGGATTTCATTGTTATCTTTGTGCTTTTGACGATGTACTAACAGTCGCAGCTTATATTTATTCCAGTTCTACTATGTGCCAGGCACCTTGATAAGCTCCTTACATGAACTCACTTAGTACTCAAACCTCTGAGCTAGGAGAACTATTTTTTCCCATTTTGCAGATAAGGAAACTAAGGCTCAGAAGGGGTGACTATGTCCAGGGTCACATAGCCTGGGAGTGGTGGAAGAGGTGACTTGTCCCAGGTTTGTTCTGACTTTGCGTCCATACTCATGCTCTGTTCTGCCTCCGTCCCTACCTTTAGATTTGGGGTTTTGAGGCCTGGGTGGGATGACTTAGCTGGTTTTGCCGCTTGGTGTTGGCGCCCTTCCATCTCTTCTTACTCACAGAGGGCTTCACTTCAGGCTGGCAGGGAGGGAGGGGAAGAGGTCTTATTTAAGAACACACATCCTCTGTTCTCATCTTCTCCTTCCCACTCCTCCTTGCCCGCCTCCAGTTTCTAGAGTTGCCAGGGCCAGGGAAGCACGTAGAGCCAGCGTGGTGTCTCTGAGGCCAGGATACCTTAGCAGCATGGAGATCAGACCTGCTGTGCCTCGGAGAGAGCCTGGGGGCTTCTGCACACCCTCAGGCAAGAGCAAAGCCGGCCAGAGCCAAGCTCTGGGCTCCACCAGCTCAGCTTGCTTCTTGGTTCAGCCGCTTGCTCATCCACCTCCTGGAGCAAGGTCGCTTTACCTGCCTCCTCAGTTTTCTCACCTGCCTAATGGGGATAAGAATAGCACTCACCACCTGGGGTTGTGGTGGGGATTCAGCGAGGTAATGTGAGCTAAGTACCTTGTACCAGGACAAGCTTAATGATCAACCCCAGCCTCCTTCTCTAACCTACCCATCATATCCTAAAGTGCCAGGGAAGAAAACAAACCAGAATGGAACCAAAAATAAGGCAGCAGGACATGAGGACATCCACGTCGGCAGGCAGCTAGTCGCTGCTTATTTTAATTCATTTTCCCACACACCAGCTTATTCATTTTTGTTTTTCTCAAAAATTCCTTGTCCTACCTCACAAAAATAAATGTACCTTGAAATGAGAGATGATTCTTATTTTGAGTCTTTATAACATGCTCTGGGGAGAGCTCTTTTATCTGTTTGTCTCATTCTCTTGGGAACTTTCTCTCTCCCCTCAGCCCCCATGCCCTCATAGGTCAATGGGCCATACCTCCTTTGTGTTTATTTATTGTTTTGTTGAGAGTCATCTTGTGTAGTTAAAAGTAGAGAGTAGAAAAAAATAATAATGTACTCTCTTAGTCATCCAACCAGTTTTTGTTGAGCACTTACTGTGTGCTCAGCCCTGGGGTGAGAGGAACATGCTTGATCTCC